TTGTAACCCATTTATTCATTTTCCATAGTCAATCTGAATTAAAAGTAAAAGGTTAATCTATCTGGTATCTGCTCAAATATAACAGAGAGACTCACATGGCAATGATAGACGAAACCAGGTTCAGCAGTAGCGTCGAACGGGTAAGGAGCTCCRGTGTCAACCAGATTAAATTTGACGACGACTGTAGTTTGGTATCCAGGATCTATCTTCACAGAGTTCTTCCATGTTCTCTCATAAGCAGGGATATCAGCCAGCTTCCYTGTTGCATGGTTCGCCACATTGCACGCCACGGCGTCGTTCTTGGTTGTCATGCAAGCCTTGAACACGTCCAAATTCACCAGCTCTTGCGCCTTCACTGCCTGAAATGAAGCTAAGTGCAGGTGCAATGGGTGATTGTCTCCGGTCAAGTTAATCACCTCCCACACCTCTGTGCTGCCGGATTTTGGTGTCTCCGTTGCCGGATCCTCCAATCGTTTCCCGTTGATGTAGAGATGTGTGGGCGTCCCTGCATTGCTCGTGTACTCGTACATCACGATGTACCTTTTCTGCACTGCACCTTCTGTTGTCGCCGGTAGATAATTCACTAGACTTGCCGGTACTGTTGACCTATCCGGTGGGCCTGCTCGTTTTGGTGCAATTATGAATTTCATCACGTTTCCATTTAGCTGGTCCACGGGTAATCCAGTCGGGTACGGGTATGGGGCATCATTCTTCAAGATGGCCTCGTTAGTTGTAGACGTGGAAAAGTCAACGATCACATCCGCAATCTCCGAAGGGGCCAGGAGTATAGTTTGTGTGTGAACAGGGGAGGGGAGGTATGATGAGTCAGATGCCACCTGGACGAACGGCAGACCATTGGATAACGAGAACCGGAAATATCGTGCATTCGAGGCGTTGATGATCCGAAAACGGTATTTCCTTCTTTGGACACTAAGGTACGGCCAGGCCTTACCGTTAACTACGATGGCATCTCCGAAATATTCCGGTTGCCACTGAGGATGGATTGACGGGTTATTGCCGGTAAAGTTCATGTAAAGGGATCCGTCTGTGGAAAAGCTTCTGTCGAAGACGAACAAGTGCCGGTCAAACTCGGGTCCAGATGGGAGATTTAGGGAAGCATCCAATTTAGGATCACGGATGACGTAGGCGCCAATCAAACCAGCTAGGAGGTTAGCACGTGTCAAACCGAGTGCATGATCATGGTACCAGAGATTGCCAGAGTGTTGGACATTGGGATAAGTGTAGGTCTGTTTAGACCAGGCCGGTCCGGTTTCTTTGAAATTGGAAGTGAACCAGGCAAAGGCGCTGCCGTCGCTCTGTGGCTCGTGGACTCCACCGTGGAGATGGACGACTGTGGGAACACCGCCGTTCTTTGGGATGGCKGTGGGGACGGTKGGGTCCCAGGGGAGTATGTGACTTTGAGGTAGATAATTTTGCCACGTTACGTAGGTAGGTACACCTCGGAGTGTCTCAATTGTGGGACCAGGTACGGTGGCGGTCTGTTGGGACGTCCCGTAGGCAAAGACTGTGGTGGGAGGCAAGTCGCGGTGGAATTTCTGCAYAAGAATAGAAACAATAAGTTCTCCACGTCAGCATGCAAAAACATCCGGAGCAGGATTGTTGAGAGGTGATGAATATATATTTCAATATTATATATGTTGTACGTGACGTACCCATTTCTTCTGGTAYATGCCGATGGTGAGACGACCAGGGAGAGGAGATCGATAGCGCATGGAATAACCATACAGCTTCGGCAGTTCAGGGAGTTCGTCCACAAACATTTGCAGAGAAGCAGCAACTTGATAAAGAGTTGCTTCGGTTATTGRAGGAGGRGTCTGTGCCGCATGGACAGCTTTGAAGCAAAGTGTGGCGATTAATGGTATGAGAGCTAATAACAACTTACTCATCATGATCCTCATTATCTTGCTCTCCTGATCAATTGTCTCTGCAATTAACCTGTCAAGAAACAACATTATTAATTCAATTGGTCAGTAGGGATGAACTAAAAAAATGAAAGAAACATAAGCCCAAGAGAGTTCARTTCATGTGAACTCATTTCATGGACCACAATGAACCACATTGCCCGTGACAGGAAGCCATTGGAACGAACATAAAAATGAATCAAAATTCAACCAGCTTTCAGTGATGTTTCAGTTCTACTTTCTTTGTCTTGGCCAGAACTTGGTCAAATTAATCAGGATTGAGGAATTGGGGATCTGTTCCCCGGCCGTGTCTGGTCTTTGGTATCACGGACTGGGGGAGCAGGTGTAAGACATGCAACAAGAGGCGACAGATTGCCATACATACAACATACCTTTAATTCAACGCTCGGAAGAAGAATGTTACAAAGAAGAGAAGAAAGAAAGAGATAGAGATGAGTAGAAGAAGAAGAAGAAGAAGAAGAAGAAGAAGAAGAAGAAGAAGAAGAAGAAGAAGAGAAGGCGTGTGCCAAGCTCAAGCTTTAATGAAAGTTGATGATGATTGATGAACTGAACATTCCACTTACAACCCTATATATAGCACATACATGGCCCCCAGTTTTCGAAATCTTGTTTCCATCGTTTGAGAAAAGCATGGTTTGAGAGATCCTGTTTTTCAAATTTCACACACCAAAACCGCGTAGCTGATCAATCCAAATTAGGTGTTAGACCAAAGTTAGTCAGAACCAAGTTTGGTATCGAGACGAATTGAACACGAAGCAGAAAACCAAACAACTCATTTGATGCCCTCGTTGTCAATATAATAAATGGATTTAAATATTCTTTTCAGGTGATGACAAGTTCTCAATTCAGATATATCGGTCAAAGAAGGGGAAGAAAGCAAAAACAAAAAGAAAAGAAATCAGTTACTACTAATTCAGATTTGAACTACGAAATGAGAATTGAGAACCATCGCTTTCCCTTGCTGAGTTGATAAATAGATGGTCGGTTAGGTGGCCGATTTGACGTTTTGACTTTGCAAGTTGCGTCTAATTTCTCCGTTTTCCAATACAAAACGAATGTCTTAGAAGCAACTTGAATTCTGTCTCGAAGCCCAAACACTATCGACCGATAACGGGTTCGAGTATTGAATCGACGACCCATTTCTTTCTAAGGATAATCTCTGATTCTGATGGTGATGGATAACAGATTCCTATACTTTTCTTCATCCAACCCACAAGCCTACCAAACAAGTCATTTTAAATTCCTGAAAACCATTTACCAAAATGAATTGTTGAAAACTTTGTTTTCAAATGAATAGTTTCTTCCTTTCAGTCAACACCTGATCTCCTGATATTTTTATAACCATTAGTAGATATATTTTTCAACACGTCAAAAATTCGCTTTGGCTCCCCGCATAGGCGCTCTAGATGCTAGAAATATATAATATTATATTTTAAATAATAATAATAATAATATATTATATATTATAAATATATATTTATATATAGAATGCATATTTATTAATTTATAATATATAAGAAATATATAATATATATATATATATATATATATATAAATATATGTATTCAGGTCGATATCTTCAGTATGTAGCAACCGCTCTGTGGAGAGCTAATCCGGGGTAATTAGTTTCTAGCAAACTCATTCCACGTATAATTTGGAATTAGTGCCTGTTTGGGACATTTTTCATGCATGGGCTTCTTACTAAGGTGGGTCTCATATGGAAAACTTTATTTATATTAGGTGAAAAAACCGGGAAACTCAGCACATTGGGTGTAGGGCCTGTAGGCTGAGTCGTATCATAGCATTGCAAGGTGGGTCTCATATGGACATTTTTGGGCCCAAGCACAGCCCACAAAGCCCTAAAATCCAAACCTAACCCACTAGGCTGGGTCGGTGTAGGCTTGGGTTGGACCACCCAAATTGCACTCCTACTCTCTCAGGTGGTCGGGTTATCTGAGATGGAAACCGAAACTGATCCAGTGTTAAGCAAAACCGACCTAGTCGATTTGAGTCAGGTTGAGTCGGTTAGGGTCGGTTTCGGCTCTAAGTTCATCCATGCCCCCTATAGCCACCTAGTTTTCTGGAAATATATTTAAAACTGAAATATGTATTTTAGAAATATATATATAATATATAAACAAAAATATACATACAGATATATTGGAATATATATTTTCTGGAAATATATATCTAACATATTTCATAATATATATTTTTTAGATATAGATATTGGAATATATATTTTCAGATATTTCAGTTTTTAGTTAAGTAGGAACTAAATCGGCTCAGTTCGACTCGATTTTGATTTTCATACAAGAAAACCGAAACCGACCTGAACCATCGGTTTATGAATTTGTACAACCTGAAACCGTCCGGTACTGATGAAAACCCAGCCGACTCTGGTTGGATCGGTCCGGGTTGGTCGATTTGGTCGGGTTGGACCTTCTTATGAACTGCCCTACTATATGTGTACTGAATACTCTATTGTAGACATGATTTTAGAAAAGAATGGCGACATGTCTACAGCCAGCAAGGTGCTGGTCCAACAAGGATCATCTCCCCAGTGTTGGAATTTAATTTGAATGTAATTGGATTCATGTTTGGACTTTCGACCAATATTTCAAAAACCAATTTAAAATCCAAAACGGTTTGGCCCTTGGTTTTTCGGTCAATGGCTTGACCATCTGGCCACGTGTCAATGAATCTATTTGACATATTTTGATGTCGGAACAGTTGATTCTTTGGATGTGGATTGATTCACTTTTCCATGTCAATAGGGTCAGTGGATCCACCGTTTGGATTTTCGGATCGTTGATAAAACAAACATTTTTTTTGCAATGTAAGGGTTTGATGTTAAGAGTCTGGATCTGTTAAGAGTCTGGATCTGTTCCTCACACCAACCTTACGATGCCTCCTAGTTATACATTGGGAATATCTCCTGTATTTTGTGTTGTTATTAAAAGGGAGATGTTTTCAATACATAGTGGGATAGGGTTGTGAAGTCTTAATGGGATTTTCTATTTATTCTTTCTACCCATACTCTATCCATCTTGAATCACAGCCATACATCCCTATCTTGTATTGTGAGATGTGCAGCTGCAGTGCATTAGAGTTTACATTTCCACCCCACAAAGAGCTGCCCCACAATGCCCCACAGCACATTCCCACTGTATATTGAGAACATCTCCCGATGATAGTATCAATCCTGATGATGACATTATTGAGAGATGTTCCCTATATACAACGGGGATGTGATGTGATCTCCAATGCACTACAGGTAAGGTGCGGGTAGAGAAAGTAAATAGGAAATCTGGGTTTGTAAGGTCTGTATGAGGTATACTCCATAAGAAGCAAATTTCCAGCAAGACAACAAAAATGAGTTAGGATCTGCTCCTCGCACCAATCTCACAACATGTACCAGTCATGCATTGAAATATTTCCTATAATTTATATGAATGTGTGTAGGTGTGAGGAACCAGTCGAGATTTCTTACCCACTCTCATTATAGAAAAATTGAATAGGAAATCTGCGTGAGGAAGGCTCTGGGGAGCAGATCTCAATTCCTCGTCATTCTCTCCATCGGGATACACGTGTTAAAGGTAAACTATTTATTACAAACAGACAAACTTTTCTTGCCAATTTTGAACGTGACATCCAAGATCGTCAGCGAAAAAGTGTTCCACAACATGAATGGTCCAATTTATCCTGACCACGTTACATGAGTCAAATTTCAAAGAGCCACTTTTACTACTATCTCTATAACTAAAAGTCTCAGCAACTTTATAAATAACAAGGGCATTGGTTAGATGATAAAAGAGATATTCTTAATGCATAATTCTAATATTTTGTGGGTAAAGATGTGAAACAGCTTATGAGTGTAGCAGATTCGTTGGCCAGTAAGCCCAATACTATTAATGCCCCAGAGTATCAGATAAGGTTAATCGGTCCAACCGGTGAAATTAAACCATGAATCGGTTCACTGCCGGTTCGGTTAGACTCCAAAAGTTTGTGGTAACAAAAACCGATCATATAACTGGTCAAGAAGAATCCCAGTTTTATAAAATTGGTTGATTTTTATTCAAATTTTTGTTAATTAGGAATGACAAAGGGTGGATTCGGGGTGGGGATCATATATCCGTTTTTGATCTTGATTCTGAAATTAACCTTATTCCCGTCCTTGATCCCCGTTAGGGATAAAATTTGTCCTCCATCCCTGATCCCCAACGGGAATAGATTCCCCGCGAGGACCCAAATCCCTGAATCTTTTTAGATAATAGTATTTTTTTTGAAAAATAAATTTATTTAAAATAAATAAATAACTTTAATTATAAATAATGTTTTAAATATATTTTGATATATAGAAATAATATTACAACACATATATTTAATATAAATAACATTTATATATATATAGAATCGGGGTTAGGGTAAGGCGGGGATCTCAATCCCCTTCCCTGACCCCGATCAGAGATACCTATTAATCCATGTCCCTATTTCCACCCCGCCAAAACAATCCCCATCTCCAACTCTATCGAATCGAAGAAGTTGGATCCTATCGGGGATGGGAAAAATTGTCATCTCTATTATTAACATCCAAAGAGCAAAAATTTTGCACTTAATTGTGATAGACATCATATTTCCAACTAAAATTCTCTAAGCAGTCACCTTTAAGATCCCCAGTAGTAAACTAAAACCGAACTTTCATTAAAAAAACTGAACCAACTAAATGGTTTCGCACCTTCTATTCCATATCTATCTAGCTCGTTTTATTTTTCTTTCAAAGATCATAAAAATATTAAATGATAAAATATATGCATGGATATGGAATAGAAGGTCCGAAAACAAGGATACCACTCGTTTGATTTGATGATATCTAATGAAGCTGGTTCGATTGTCCATTATTTAGAATTTCAAGACGAGGCCCTAGCCTAGTAGTATTAATTTGTGCATACTAGATTGATTGGAAGCGCAGAGAATCGAAGTAATCCCGTTGAAAACCCGGCCCCCTAGCTTAGAACCTTAGCCAAGTGGAAATTCAGTTCTGTCGTCAAGTCATCCACCACCTACCAACAAGGCAACAATGAACAATTCCCTTTCAAAGCAAAGACATACTAGAGCGGAACGAACTTTAATTAAAACCATATATTCTTAATCATTAATTAACTTCCCTTGTCGCTAGCTTCCAATTATTTTTTGTTTGCTTTTCCCCTTTCTTTCAGCTATATATATCTAATAATCCAAAACTTGTGTTCAACAGATAAGTCGCTGTTTCATAATCATTTATTATAACCATAACTAATTAAGCAATTAATTTTTTATATGGATTTTTCTTCATTATCAAAATGTTTGACTGAAAGTGGGTAGAGGGTCAATTTGGATAGAAGCACAAGATGACGTCGTTGGTGTTTTGAATTTGAAAACACTATTTCTGTTTTTTTTTTTTATCTTTCTTTCTTAGAGGGAAATTGAAACGAGGGAAGCCCGTTTCGTAAACCTGAGGCCATGTTTGTGCTCTCTCTCTCTATCTATGTATATATAGGGCGATGGCTGTAACCTTTTGACATCATTCATTCCTAAATCCTAATTAATCTTGTGCTCGCCACACGCCTCTTCTCTTCTCTCCTCTTGGTCACACAATTTATTGCGCGCGATACGATTGATCAGTACGACCCAGCTGGAAATGATGAAGATTGATCATCATCAATTGTTGTTCGTCCCTTTAGTACTGTTGATGATTGCAGCAAATTTCTTCAAAGTCCAGGCACAGCAGGGTCCCATAAGTGAAGCAGCAACTCTACGTCAAGTGGCTTCCTCTCTGCAAATGTTCGTGGATGAACTCCCTCAAATGCCCAAAGTCTTTGGTTTTTCAATGCGACACCGCTCACCCGTTCCAGCCCATCTCACCATTGGCATGTTCCAGAAGAAATGGGTACGTATTTTAGCTACTACCATGGTTTTTAAAATCGGACCGRACCAGAGAAAAATCAGAAACCGGTCATGACTGATTCAATTTTGCCTCAGAACAGTAATTTTGGCCAAAAACTATTGATTTGGTCAGCAAATCGCTGACCTAGGTGATTAAACCATTTAAATCATTTAACGGTTTTTGGCCTTTTTTATTTTTTAATTTTTTTGTCAAAACAGTTCATCCATTCGATTTGAATGGTCAGACCATAAAACCACCTGAAAACCGAACCCATGAACCATTCATTATCCCATTCGGTTTTAAAAACCTTGACTACTATTTCCTTTATATATATATATATATATATGATCCAACCATGTGGTTTAATGGGGTGGACCATGGGATATTCATGACTTTCTTACTTGTTCTCAATTCATCAATAAATAATCCTATATATGCATGCATATATTATTGTTAATTAACATTTTCTTCTGGGTTTGTGCAGAAATTCCACCGAGACTTGCCTCCCGCCACAGTTTTTGCTTATGGAAAATCTAAGAAGACCGCCACTGTACCCGGTCCCACTATTGAGACTCTCCAAGGCGTCCCTACTTACGTCACGTGGCAAAATCACCTCCCTCAAAGACACATACTCCCTTGGGATCCAACCGTCCCCACTGCCATTCCCAACAACGGCGGTGTCCCCGCTGTCGTCCATCTCCATGGTGGCGTCCATGAACCACAAAGCGATGGTAGTGCCTTTGCCTGGTTCACCTCCAACTTCAACGAGACCGGACCGGCCTGGTCCAAACCAACCTACACCTACCCTAATGTCCAACACTCCGGAAACCTCTGGTACCATGATCATGCTCTCGGATTGACACGTGCCAATCTCCTAGCAGGCCTGATTGGCGCCTACGTCATCCGTGATCCAAAACTAGATGCCAAACTAAACCTCCCATCCGGACCCGAATTTGACCGACACTTGTTCGTTTTCGATAGGAGCTTTGCAACTGATGGATCCCTTTACATGAACCACACCGGCAATAACCCGTCGATCCACCCTCAGTGGCAGCCAGAGTACTACGGTGATGCCATCGTAGTTAACGGTAAGGCCTGGCCATTCCTCAAGGTTCAGCGGAGGAAGTACCGGTTCAGGATCATCAATGCCTCCAATGCACGATACTTCCGGTTCTCTTTATCGAACCGGCTCGCATTTGTCCAGGTGGGATCCGACTCATCCTACCTACCCTCACCCGTGCGCACACAGAACATATTCTTATCACCATCCGAGATTGCTGACGTTGTAATTGATTTTTCCATTTCAACCACCAACGAGGCCATTTTAACCAATGATGCTCCATACCCATACCCGATCGGTTCGCCCGTGGATGATCTGTGCGGAAACATCATGAAGTTCGTCATTGAACCGGGAAGCCCTAGCCAACCGGACAGATCAAAGATCCCGGCAACTCTAGTAAAGTATCAACCAGCCAGAACAGCCGGTGCAGCGAAAAGAAGGTACATAGTAATGCACGAGTACAGCAGCAACGCCGGCACGCCGACCCATCTCTACATAAACGGCAAAAGATTGGAAGATCCGGCGACGGAGACACCAAAATCCGGCACTACAGAGGTGTGGGAGGTGATCAACCTGACCCCCGATAATCACCCGTTGCACCTTCATTTGGCAATGTTCCAAGCAGTGAAGGTGCAGGAGCTGGTGAACTTGGATGCATTCAAAGCTTGCATGACAACCAAGAACGACGCAGTAGCATGCAATGTGAAGGCCCATGCGACCGGAAAGTTGGTGAAGATACCGGAAAACGAAAGAACATGGAAGAACGCGGTGAAGATAGAGCCTGGATACAAAACAACCATCGTCGTCAAGTTTAATCTAGTGGAAACCGGTGCGCCGTATCCGTTCGACGCTACTGCTCAACCCGGTTTCGTCTACCATTGTCACGTAAGCAAACCGCCTCTTTGATGTTTGATCCTAATTTATGTTGCTCATATTTCATTGATTTCTTTACAAATTAGCGGCCATGGCTCTGTTTCTACATTATCTGATCAGTTATGTTCTCACTTTGTGTGTTCTGCTTTTCTTTTACTTAATTGTTGCAGATCTTGGACCATGAGGATAACGCTATGATACGGCCACTGATGTTGGTTAAGTAATCAATTCGTAGAGTTGGCATGGAGAATACAATATAGAACGTCTAATATGTCTGTTAATTCTATTCCTTGGTTGAAAAATGAAAATTATATTATGTATATATAGAAATTGCAATAAGTGCATAATAATCTAAGTGCACGAGTTTAATTGTATTAATGTTAAAGATGTAAGTTTGGTGTCTGAAGGGGCATCCATATATACTTGTATATTCTATTTGTATTGTATTCATTAAAAGTGGAAATAAAATTCCATTTAATATTGCCGAGGTCATCAACTGTTTAAGAAGTAAGAAACCATAGCCCTGACCGATTAATTATATCACATGTATAATTATAGATGTCAGGTTTAATCGCTTTAAATCTGGCCTATTTTATAAGACTGATTAATATTGGAACTGGTCCATGATGTCCCCTAAACCAGACCTGACCATTGAAGGCTCCAAAGAGTCATATTTGAGACATTCCAAGGTGGTGATCGGATCGGCTGCCCAATGTTCCTCAATACATGCAGGGATGGGCTGTGAATTCACATCTGCGCTCAATTACTACAAGAAAAACAACCAAAGCATGACCGCCGCTAGAGTGATGTCTGAAGATATTTAGACACTGATGCGGCGGTCTAACATAATATACTCGGCGGATTTTGTATTTAGACCAGATTTAAATCGGTATAATCTTACAACGAACCGCTCTAAATGAGAAATGCGGGAAATAAAAAAACTCCCATCTCCCGCGCGGATGCCTGCTTCCTGTTCGACAAGACAAAATGTTCCTGCAAACAGAACCTTGCTATAGAGAAATTTTGACGAAGACGATGATCCTTTTTCTCGAACAAAAAAAAATTAGAGGGATAATCATTGTTCGAATAGATATTGGGAAAGAAATCTAGGGTTACAAGTGGTACCACTTGTCCATTCTTCGCTTTGTTCATTCTTCGCTTGAGGAGGGTTACAAATAGTCAATGGGAAAGAAATCTAGGGTTACAAATAGTCACCGGTGTGTGACTCTATAGTAGCAAACTTTGTTCATTCTTCGCTTGAGGAGGGGGGAAGATACCTTTTGATGAAGGGTGATTTGGCCCGACCTAGCGAAAAGGGGACACGTGGACACGACCTTATCAAGAGATGACAGCTCAGCCTAGCATGATTAGTTCGCAACGATTGAGCTCGGGTATTTGATCACCTCGGTACAGGGTCACCTCGGGACAGTCGCCCTAGCAACGAGGCACCTCGGCATTCAACCTAGTTCGAAACTAAAGAACCGAAGTACCAGCTCGAGACTAACAACCCGAATCGCCACGTAATCGCCTCCCACGTAACCAACTCCAGAGGTCTCTCCAACGGATACCGACTTTTCTGAGATCATGATAAGGACTCATACCGACTCCGCTAGAGTCGGAAGTGGGACGATAAGCCTTATCCATATAGTACTCMTTCGGAAGCGGAACGAACTCTATCTCCACATCCCGGAGATCCTAGAGCTCTTTCGTAAGTCCCACGACTACTCGAGTATATAAAGGCACCTACCCCAACGACACAAGGTACGTGTGATTTTTTTGCTTTCTAGCTCTCTAAATTCCATAAGCTTTTCAGCTCGCATCAGTTTACTAACTTAAGCATCGGAGTGACCTCACCGGGTTAGCCACCCCGGGTTCTCTGATACTTTCTTGTAGATTCACCTAGCTCATCGCCCGATTGGAAGCTAGATCATCCTCCAGCAGGGAGCAGTCAGATCGCACTACATCAATTGGCACCATCAGTGGGAACACGATAAAAAAATCATCCCTTTTACAAGTTATCAACTTTCTGAATCAATGGAGTCTTCCAGTTACGCCACACAGAGCAGCGAGATGAACGTCTCCGAGGGGCAACCTCAACTTCCTTCAGTGTGCATTGGCTAGTTCACCATTCCGCTTAGTGCGGCTGGGGTTCCAACACTGACCATGCCACCAAATACCACACAAGTGAAATAGTGAATGCCCCACTTCCCCTAGTGGTAGGCGCAACCTTCTCTGAGTCGTCTGTAGTTCCCCCCGGAGTTGGACAGTCATAGTTCGACGACCTGGGGCAGTGTGAGTGGGCCATCCAGGTCCAAATGCAGCAGGTCCAGCAGTACCAGCAATACATGCTCTACCAGCAGTACTAGCAGCACTTCCCCTCACTGTCGTAGAGCCAACAGCCGGTTCCACCTCGGCACCCGGAGGCCCAACAAAATTAGAATAGACCACCTCGCGTGAACCAGAGCATTCGATCTCCCCATCGAGGCGAAGAAACCTCCCAAGTCCCAGTTCCTCTTAGGAGTCAGGTCTCACCTTGCGGGAGGGGAGACAGTCAAGTCACTCCACTTGCCTCGCAAGGGAACCTCGGAAACAGATATGGAGATACCCAACCTAACAGGGCCAATCTTCCTCGGCAGTTGTAGCAAGGTGGAGGTGGGTCCCTCGCAGGTAGCCGGTTCGGAGTTCTGTGTACGAACTCAAAGCAAGACCTCTCCATCCGTGACAACCAGCCCTAGAATTCCACGAGGAACCAGGAGTTACCTCGCGGCAGAACAGTACCAGAGCATACTGAGATCAGTAGCACTAGTGTCGAGCCGATCAAGAAGCAACAACAAAGGCATCGCAAGGCACGCCATACTTCAGCCCAAAACAACCAACCAGTGAGACCAAACCAACAAGAACAGGCTAAGGTTTAGGAGGAGGCAAGCTCGGTAGCTACAAAGGTGGAYCCTCCCCTACTTTCCGAGTCGTCTCCCCTATCTCCTGAGCTCTTGGCGACCCCGATGCCTAAAGATTTTAAAATGCCTCCCTTGGACATGTATGACAGGTCTTTTGACCCTAATGGCCATGTGGATTCCTTCCAGTCCCAGATGCACCTAGCTGGGGCTAACAAGTCCTGCATGTGCGTAGCTTTCCCCACTACTTTCAAGGGAGTAGTTTGGACATGGTATTAGAACCTCGCATCGGGATCGATCAAGAGCTGGTTACAGTTCATGGAGTTATTTACCTCGCACATCCTCACCAGCAAGAAGTGCCCGAAGCCGCATGAGAGTCTCCTCAGCGTAGTTCAGAGAGAAGGGGAGTCAATTAGAAGCTACATCAAACGCTTCAACGACACCTGCCTGGAGATTCCCGACCTAGACCCGGCGGTAAGACTCATAGCAGCCAAGAAAGGTGATGGAGGGTGATTTGGCCCGACCTCGCAGCACGGGTACAATTGAGCGTGAAATTGCTCAAACAGTGACTCAGCGCAACTGACATAACTGCAACTCGGGGGGAGCGTCTCACCGAGTTGAGCTCGGCAACTGGGCGGATAAACTACTCGCCAGAAGCCGTCTTGCATGCATCTCCTCCCTGGGGTAAAGGCACTTCGGGGTGCCCCGAGGTCGGGGTACCCTGACCTTTCTCGATACCCGAGCTCCTCCCGATGGACTTTGGGCCACTCCCCGACGGGAGCTCACCGACCCACCTCTAGACACCCTAGGGTGAAAACACTTCGGGCCAGATAGCTCGGCATAGCTTGCCACAGGCAGCTCGCCGCCTAAGGGATAGCTCGGCACAGGGTAACTCGCGAAAGGGTAGTTCGGCGTACCGCCAAAAGATCTCCTGCCCGACCACTGTACCCGACAAACCTGGGGACAACAGCCATGTCCCTCGTCAGACATCGTCGCACCCGCCACCTTTAAAAGGTGCCTTACACCTGACAGGCATGTACCCTACGACGACCGCCCCGCGCGTGCCACCTCAGCTTTGCCTGTAATGGCTGTGGCAGACTGACAGTGGCGGTTATACCTACCCTGTCAGAAGCCAGAGAGCCTGATACAACAGAATTTTGTTATAAGGGGCTTATTCTCAAGGAACAAGGTATCTTCGAACCACTTGCGCAATCTGCACTCTTAGCCTTTGTCTTTCCTTTGCTTCTCACACAGAATACTGACTTAATCGTCAGAGCGTTCCCGCCGGGCAAACCCCTCGGGAATTCTTCTTCTTCCTCCTCGTTTCAGGTACCTCTYAGGAGCCACGTGAGTGCTAGCTAGGAGTGACCGGATCACGCGACATCAATTGGCACCGTTTGTGGGAAGCGCTTTGAAAAGCCTTTCTCCAAACTTTCACGTCTCTTTACTCTCCAGAAACTCAACACTCATGGCTTCCTCTAGCTACATTGGACGAAGCACAGAGATGGATAASTCCAGGGAACAACCCCAGTTTCCTACTGTCCTCATTGGATAGTTCACCGTCCCTCTCTCGGCGAATGGAATCCCCAGCTTGAATGTGCCTCTTGCAGTGGCACCTGTCGTCGCGCCGCTCTGGAGGACTTGATGCAGTGCATGCGGACCATGAAGGCCCAAATGCAATAGTTCCAACAATTTCAGCTCTATCAACAACATGTGCTGCACCAGGTCTCCCACTATCAATATCAGCAGCACTTTCCCCAGTTACCTCAACCTCAGCTTCAGCAATCGCAGCTTCCCCCTTGGCACGCAGTCTCGCAGCGAGCTAGGTCTCACCGTCAGGAGGAGCACCCATCTCGCCAAGGAGAGGCCCCCCAGAACCCTCCAAGGAGCCAGGCCTCCTCCCGTGGTAGACAAGAAAGATCGGCCGCTCTGACCTCACCACGGGCACTCAGGTCGGGAGGACCTCAGCTCGCCAGGCCCACGCCGCCTCAGCCCTCAAGGCCTGGTACCCCGTTCATGGAAAACCGATTTGAAATCCTGGGTACAAGCTCCAAGCAGGAGCTCTCTGTCCGTAGCCATCACCGGCGGCCTGAGCTGCTTCCTGCACACACCATTCCTGACAGTACAGAAGTGAGCAGCACAAATGCCGAGCCTGCCAAGAAGCAGATACGCCGCCGCCGAGCTCGCCGATCTGCCACCCACGACCTACCCAAGCTCAGAGGCAAAGAAGAGGTAAGCTCAGGCGAGGTCAAGGCACCCATCCTTTCAGTTCAATCCCCCTATCTCCCGAGCTCCCAGCAGTCCCAATGCCTAAAGATTTCAAACTCCCCCTCTTGATAAGTACGACGGGTCATTCGACCCAAATGATCACATAGATGCCTTCCAGTCGCAGATGCACCTAGC